CTTCATGTGACTTGATACATCGGCAGTATCTGATCCAACGACAGCATCCTATACCTGTTACCCTAGCCACGAAAACTGAAAAAAGTGTAAATAACAAATGGTTTTCAACTGAAACCCATGCCGGTTGGGGCTTGCTCTCTTTTCAACGTTTGTCCGCTATTACTCGGGACGCCATCTATATAAAATAACTTAGAGAAAGTATCGAACGCCTGATATTGCTGAGGGTGATATCAAGGGAGACTGGAATGGATTTGCTGGCTTAATAGCCAAAATCAACCTATCTTATCCGTTTGTGGCGATTCAGCAATGAGTTTCAATATTTTCTAGCCTAAACCGCCTTTTCAGCGAGCTCGTGGCTCCATGATGAGGACTTGTACATGTTACGTCTGCGATCATGACTGATCTAGCCGGCCTCAATTATGTCCCGTATGGTGCTTGTCCACGCGGGACGATCCGTGGCCAAAGACCTGGTCAGTTCGACCTATTCTCTTCGCCAGCACCGGAGACCAAATTACGAATGTCCAAGAACCACTTCCATATTATGACAAACTGAGTCGAGCCAGATTTTGAGTTGACCCCCTCTTCGAACTTTCCAATTTGGGCAACGGTTTCAATTCAAGGGTAGTTGTACTGAGCTCTTGAGGTTGGCGACTTAAAACGTGTCCAAACCACATCAGCCGTCTTTCCTGAATGGTCTGGGGTATGCTTGTGATTTTGTCACAGCGAGTGCGGACTGTCTCATTTAAGACGAAGTCGGTGTTCTTCACTCGAATGATGCTTCTCAGATAGCAGTGGTCGAAGTCTTCCAGTTTCTGTTCATCCTCCACGCACTTAGCCCAACATTCGTATTCGTAAAGGAGAACGGACCGCACATATTTTCGGTACACGCGGATATTTTTTGAGGTAGAAATAAGGCGTCCGGTTCATAAGCACTACCGAAGGCTGGAGAACACTCGTTGTGCTGCATCAATTTGGGAGACAATGTCATTGTTACTCTGTCCATTCGGAAGCAACCTGGCTTCTTCAAGTGTACCGCCACTAATCTTGTGAGATGCCTTCACTTCGGTAGTGATGCAGCATGAAAACACTTTGGTCTTCCCAGCGTTAATGGAAAAAACCGACCGTTTTCGCGACCTCGTTCACACGTTACATCATAGAATGGAGATCGCCAGAGCTTGATGCTAGTAAAGCGATATCATCAGCATAGTCAAGGTCAGTCAACCGGCGCCCGGGTGCAAGCTGAATACCGTCACATTCTTGTAGGGCCTCCCGAAAACCCAGTCAATGACGTAGTTGAAGAGGATGGGCGACAGAACACAGCGTTGCCGAAGGCCTGACGAATAGCGAAGGGTTCTGATAGGTTTTTGGGCACTAATACCCGCGCAGTGGTGGAGCGGTTGTATGCCTTCATCGTGGCGATTATTTTTGGTGGTAAACCATCAAATGCAACTATCTGCTAAAGGTAGGACGCTTGTCTCTGATCAAAATGTTGCCAGTTCGAGGTTCTAGTGAGGCAACACTTGATGCTGGGCATTAATGGCCGACGACGGCTAATAAGTGAGTGTTTCTTGTTTTTCCTGGCAATGATATCTGCCTATACTGCCAGCTGAGTCGCCCAAAGCTGTGGCAAAGCCTATCAGTATGTCAAATCGCATAACTCCTCACTGCATTTTGATAAATAGACCATAATCGTCAAGTTATATACGAACGGTTTGACCGCCAGGTTATTAGTCCCCTGCTTGTTATCGTTAAGAGGTCACTACATTCTCAAATGTCACACTGCAGTGTTTGGTTTGCCGCTCACTCACTAGAACACGTGACCATTTGAAAGATGGTGTTAATATACACCCTATGACAGGTTCATCCTCCTCAATATTGAAAAAGAAGACATGGTAAGGGAACAATCTTCAGTACCATGCTCCTATTAAGCACATTTGAATTATCTGTTATGCTGGAGGTTGTTCGCAAATGGAACAGCAGCATAATTGGTATTCCGCTTTGTGTGTGGACGTACATTTTCTTCGCGGATTAGGTTTGGTTGAGTCCACGCACATTTCTAGAGCTATTATTTCCATTGAAACAATTATTATGGAAACGTCGAATTTTTGTGGTTTCACGAACCTCTTAGTGTGAACCCGTCTGATCAATAACCTCCCTGCGGCTGAATGATATATGTTCGCGCTGAACCACTAAATATCCTCACATATTGATCCGTACAGGAAGGACCAGGTAATGGGTGCGTAAAATCCAACTCCACATCCACGATGGTACGCGCCGGAAACTTGTTTTTGCTTGACTAAAT